ATGGATCAATCAAGTTACTACGAGAATGAATCATAACATCGAGTTTATGGGCCCTTTTTGGGCCTTTCCGTAAACATGACAAATGCTGAGAGACGGCTAAGCTTTAGCTCCTGACTTTTCAGCATCAAAGATTACAGTGTCGTCTGAATTGAACACTAAAACCGATCGGCAGACATACGGACAGAGAGGCGAATCCAAAGTGTCGATATGAGTACAGGTGTGTCTCTTCTCTTCTCCTCTCCCCATTTCTCTTTATTCGCGTTTCGATTTCTCTTGAAGTGACGACAATTTATCTAAGCATATGCTGGTTTTTAGCTAGTTAGCTTTTTTTAGTAACCAATCACTGCTGGTTAATCAGATTAGTCCTAGTTATGTATTTGTTGGGGTGGGAGACAAGAGAACTGCGATGAGTTTGCATATATCTAAAACCCTAGATTGATGGTTTTGTGTTCACATAAGCTATTTTATCTCCGTCTGGGTTGACCTTTATTCAATTATTGAGAGCCTATACAGGCATGTAAAATTGAATTTTTTCTTTTTTTTTTTCATTTTGCACCGAATGAGAATCAAACTCTATACCTAATGCCTTTTGTATAAGAGAAACAGGTTTAATAGTATACATGTTGTCTGCTAGCTAACTGCATTGCTTCCTAAAACTCTCGATCCGAGACTCGTTTACACGTTCCTGCTGAATATTATTTTCGTCTGTGTGGTGGAAGGTGGAGCATTTGGAGGAAACAGAGGATTGAGACCTATCCCACCAGAGAAGGGCATTTTCCCTTTAGATCACTTACACGAATGTGATTCGGTATTTTACGAGCTTCTCTTTGTTATTCTCCTTGTAAGAGATGTTTTGGTTTATCTTTCACTTCTTCACTTAGCATTCTTTTTTTTTCTCAGGAGAAGAAAGAATATCTTGTATGTCTCAAGTCTTCATCTAACAAATCTGAGCAATGCAGACATCTCTCCAAGAAATATCTCCAGTGTCGAATGGCCAAGTTAGTCTCTTTTTACTCTCTTTCAATTCTATCTATCGAGGAGGAGCGTTGGATGGGAGTTAGATCATGAGACTGATTTATTATTGCAGGAACTTGATGGCAAAGCAGGATATGTCTGAACTTGGATTCAGTGGTGTTAAAGAACTGGATTCCACTGAAGATCAGAATAAAGAGAGTATCCAACATTGAAGGGTAGACCAAACTTCGAACCTCTTTTTTGTGATTTGACATTGATTCATGAGTCAAATCTACAAGGTTATATTAGGTTAGACCATTTCTTCCAGATTAAACCAAACTATTCTCACACACTGTGTTTCAGCTTCACCATTTCTCATCGTTTTACAGATGATGGTATACGTATCTGTAATTTTTTGTGTGAACTAAAAGCATTCCCATTCTTATACAAAGAATCATACGAAAGCAAGAGGATTGTTGGCCCATATGCGTCTGATGACTCTTTGGGCTAACAAATATTAGTTCTTAGGTTTAAAGTATAATTTTTTTTGCTTCTGTTATATCTGTTCTTGGATTTTTTTTTCTTCAAATTGTTTCAATGTTTCAGTCATATACTTATCAAATAATTATATTAAAATTAATAATATAACTGTCAAAAATGTGAAATCTAGTGTTTTAGATTATTAAAAAGCATATTTAATTAGGATGTAGTTTAGATTACATTTAATTATTTTGTCTACAATGAATTACATAAGAAAATAGAAAATTGAAATCAAGGGGAAATTAGATGAACTCAGATATTATATTAACTAGAGGTCTGGGGTAAATGTTCTTTCTAATGCACTATAGACACGGCCTGACCACAATGGCAAATAATGACGTCCCAAGTAAAATCTGACAGAAGCGCACACACGAACGATAAGGTATATACCATATAAATTTGTCAAATACAGGATTTTATACTATGCAGCTAGTTCGCTAGGAGTGATGACGCAGGGGAGAGACATATTGTGACTTCTTGAAAACTACGTTGCTGACTTCCCTGAATTTCATATTGAAGTTTTGTGACGATTATGACGTTATATGGATAGACATTAATGGAAACCATATATATGGACTTATATATTGTTTCGAAAGAGAAAAAAAAAGTTCGATGATTATATAAAAACATGTATGTATATTATTTCCAAATTTGTAGCAACTTGTGAGACTAGCTAGCCTTTTCACCAATCTTATCATGCTACTATTTTCACTTCTTGATGATGCGACTGCATATATATCGCGTTTAGCCGAATCTCTTGTGACGAATGGATTTGGAAACACTATACATAAACAAATTGGAATATATTTTAAAAATGGAATATAAGTTCATCATTTATACAAAATTTTCTTGCGCTCGTTGAATGTATAAAAAATGTGTCTTACATAAGATAATCGGTTTGTGTTCTAGAACATGATGTATTAGTGTTAGGTTTGTATATAATTTTAATGTAAATTTTTCTCAACAACCGTGTATATACATGCCTAACTCAAAATAATTAAACATAATATTTTGATCGATGTGATTACTGAAATGGTTAGTTTAATTTAACAAATGCTATTTTCTCAGTTAATTGCTCCATGTCTACTTATATGAATATATTAGCTAAATGGGTAAGTACTCTAATACAAAAGTTAAAATTTTATTTGCAGATTCGCATGAGGTGATGGGGGCATCTGTGCATGTCAGTTAGACAGGTAAGTACTAATAAGTAATGATTAATATTCAAGTCTTAATATAAAGTGAAATAGAACGTAGTGTTAATAATTATATGGTTCATGGGATGTTATTTTAAAACTAAATTGATATATGAAAACGGCACAAGGGGTGTTCGGAAAATTAATTAAGAAAAGACTGATTAGGAGAAGGAATGGAAGAGGAAAGGAAGTAGGGACAAAATAGAACAGCTCTTATGTGGGGTTAATTAAACAGTGATTTTCCTTGGTTTTTTCCTTAACCTAAATACCCCACGTACCATCTTTATAGTCTGTCTATATATGCGTTAATGCATATGCATTCTTGCGTACATAAGCCATGTAACATATAAGATATGACACGTTATATCTATATATTTGATTTTGTTTTTGCATATATACTTGATGGCATATGCAAAATAAACCAAACAGTAGAACTAGACGTCTCTTTCTTTCATTTTTTCGTTTTGAAAAAAAAAAAAAAAAAATGAAACTTACTACTTACGAATTACGAAACTTGTATATGTTGTTCCAAGCTAAAATTTAAATTTTCTTTTTGTAATAAATTATTGTTATTGTTATTTAATGCTTTTGGTGACGCTATTGACAGTATGGTCAAGTTGTAGACAATACAAAAAAGAGAGATTTGAAAATGTGTTTTACATTCATTTTTTTTTTTTCAAAACTTAGGAAATCCGTCTACGGAAACAAATAGGATTCGTATCCACGAGGCACGAACTATCAAATTTAATACGTTATCATTAGATAAATTACAGTCGATTGAAACAAATAATGCGTACATGAACTGTTTATCCTTTTTAATGTTTTGCATCAAAGTAGTCTCAACTTTAGCATCAAAGAACATCTGAAAATCAATAATTACACTTCTCTCTTTTTTCCAAGAAACACAAGAATACTAAGTTTTTTCTTCGTTTTGTACCATGTATAGACCTACAAGGCTAGGTAGGTCTATGTAGACACAATACGATTTTTGATAGGCCTCTACGTACTAGTGTGTTTGTATATACGCTTTTAAGGATCAACAGGGGACCCATTCACTATAGCTTCCCTTCCTCAGTATTACTACATTTTGTGAAACACTAATATATTGGTTGATTTATTCTGCTAGGGAATTAATTAGTAACATACTTAACAGTTAGAGAGAAATAATTTGGATAGTTAATATTTAAGATGAGCATTGGACTCATCAAATTTGGTTTACAAAGGAAAAAGGACAAATCTAACAAGAGAAAGAGAGATTAGAAAAAGATTATAGGACAAGTATGGTGAGTGAGAGAGAACATCTCTGCATGTCTCTCCCAAGGGGAAAAAGAAGAGTCATTTCCTTCTTACCTTTTTTATTCTTATCTTTTCATTTTTTCCACATTGTAAGCAAGCTGTCACCCTTTTACATTTTCCTTAATATATTCAAATTCTTTCGTTTTCACATTGTTAAATTTTCAACAAAATATATTCTATTGGATTTGAATTCAGATGAGAAGATAATTTTTATATGTTATATAAAATGAGTGTTAATGAACTTTTGATTTTAAAATGTAGTTTAAACTTCATATATTGGAAAAATTTAAATAGACTATTTGAGTTTTGTTAAGATTTTGAAGTGTATTAGTGAAATTTATTATTTAAATGAAAAATCCAAATTTCCTATACATGAAATTTTAGAATGTTTTAATAAAACTCGTAGGGACTCATAAGAAGTTTTCTAGTTCACTCCAACTCATCTAAAACCTTATTACAAAGATCAAATCATTCTAAATCTTAAATACCCTCCCTATATCTTTTGATTTTAACTTCACTATAGGATTTTATATCTTCTTAAGATTGTAAACATATTAATATGAACAATCTAATAACATTTTTGTTCTAGATCTTGATGATACTTTTGTTTCATTCGACGCCATTACCCCTCAATTAATATCCAAATTTTATCATCAACAATTCTCAGCACCTCAAAACAGTTTAGTATCCTAGAGAGTAGGCTAGGCAATGCCGGTCAAGAATATTTATAGATCAATAAAAAGTAGGCCTATTGTTGTAGTTCGGAATTAAACTCATTATCGACATTTCAATTTTAATTTTTATTAACCATTAAATTACTTAAATGTTTTATTAAATATTTTGGCTGATATTTTATATAAATAAAAAAGACTGAAAACCTATGTTTCTTTGGCTAAGGGCCACTGCGCCTGGGCAGAGTACAGTTGGTATACCATGGTCAAGTACATTGCATACCAGCAAATCTATAATGGGAAATGAAACCAATAAACGAGTCGGACTATAGCTTTTGTTTGGTTTAATTAAAATGGAGTTTAACAAATTTGATCTACACAAAATAACGAGAATCCGTTTCTCTATCCCTCTCTCTATCAGTCTTTCTCTATAAAACGCAAAAACAAAAAAGAAGAAAACAAATACCATAAGTAGTATAGTCTATAGGCCGATTCATTTCACTATCTCTCCTTTTATTTTCCTCTTCTCTTCTTCAATTTTGATTCTTCAACTCACATAAAAAAAATTTGAGATCTCGACTTCTCAAATATAATGGGAATAAGAAACTAAAGAGAAACAACCAAAGCTTAAGCAAACAGCTTCTTGTCTTCTGTTGAAAAAATCAGGAGAACATGTCTTGTAATAATGGAATGTCTTTCTTCCCTTCAAATTTCATGATCCAAACCTCTTACGAAGACGATCATCCTCACCAGTCTCCATCTCTTGCACCTCTCCTTCCTTCTTGCTCCATACCTCAAGATCTTCAAGGTATATGCATTCACACTTACTCATCATAATCTCTTCTTTATTCTAAAAAAAATTTCTGTTTTTTGCTCTGTTTTTAGGGTTTGCTTCGTTTCTAGGTAAGAGATCTCCAATAGAAATGGGGAACAATATGAACGGAGAAGATGATTATTCAGATGATGGGTCTCACATGGGAGAGAAGAAGAGGAGATTGAACATGGAGCAAGTGAAGATGTTGGAGAAGACTTTCGAGCTTGGAAACAAACTTGAACCAGAGAGAAAAATGCAGTTGGCTCGTGCCTTGGGTTTACAGCCAAGACAGGTCGCGATTTGGTTTCAGAACAGAAGAGCTCGTTGGAAGACAAAGCAGCTCGAGAAAGATTACGATACTCTTAAGCAACAATTTGATGCCCTTAAAGCTGATAATGATCTTCTTCAAACTCATAATCAGAAACTCCAAGCTGAGGTAATTAATACTCATAATTTACTTTTAAAAACTGAATTTTTTTTTCTTCTAATTCAGTTTGTTTTATTAAAAGATTGATTTTTGGTTAATAATGTCATAATGTTAATTAGGGTAATTTAAAAAAAAAAATCTTAAAAGGTGAAAAATGTAAGTTAAAAAAAAAATTATTTTGATAATAATTATTGGATCGGAAGTTGCACTCAAGTAGGGTTAGTAAACTCGACATGTTGACATCATTATCCTTTTCTCATCTTGTCTGAAACAGAGATCTGAAAACAAT